TTTTTTTTTTTTTTTTTGGAATTAGCCAGGAATGATATTTCAATTCGAACCTGAACTTGATGCTTTTCTTGAGTTTCTTATATGGAGATTTTCCATATGGGTTGATAAGCCCACTCCTGGTAACTCTCTCATGAATTTAAGGTATAGAGATGAACGTGCAGTTGAAGCAAGGGGAAAAGGTTGGTCGTTTTTTGGTTATCCTATGCTTCCTATTAAACTATGGTTCTATACATACTTTTACTGTTCTATGAGATTCTTGATCTAGATCTACACATGAATCACATGTTTTGGTTGCTATTAGTACTGTTCCTAACATTCTTTCAACAGTACATAGATTTATCTTATGGTATAATGCAAGTAACCTTATCTCAGAGGTGTGGTGTACATTTTTTGAGTGTTGGAGATTCTCTTTGTAAGGATTGTCATATAAGACAAGACAACTCGATTGTACCTTCTCTCTAGGTCTAGATGAAACTGGAGAGATTATAAGCCTTCAGACATAAAAAAGATCATTTTACCAGTTAGATATTATTTATCTTCTCATTATATATCGATCGCTGGGAAAGAGAGTAACTTTGAAACATTATAGTTTTATTTAGTTACGTCTTTTTTTGAAGAATTTGTGTCTGTTTGCTAGGCCGTTATTTTGGAAGCTTTCTGCACTTTAGCGTGTCACTATCTCCTGTAAAGGTGCCATAGAGACATTTTCGTAAGTTTCATCCTGTAATTCATATTCCGTTTTACTAAAGCGGAGAGTAGATGTCATTTCATCTTAATGTTTTTGGCATACCTTTTTATTTGCTAATCACAGTCCTTTGTTTTGACTTTTGAGGATGCATGTAATTCTTTTTTTCAAGTACTTTGGGGACAGTGGTGGAACCTTCAAACTTTTGACATTTTCCTTGGCATGTAAAATTTTCAATTGCTATTACAGAAGATTTTCACGTTTCTATCTTTAGCACACCCTTCACACGCAGGCCACGTTCTGTTTTGTATGGCAAACATGTCGAATTACTTCTATTGTTATTAATTGCTGACGGTAATTGATTTCACTGGTTCAATTCTTTATCTAACTTGATATATGTTTATATGTCTTTTTATATTATAGCTTAATTTTGAGACACGAGAGAAGACGCACTTCACATTTTAGTGATCATGCTGATGTAAAGTGATCTATTTTTATATTTCTTTTTCTATAATCTCCTACATTTGTTATGTTTCCTGTCATTAATATTTTCGCTTAAATTGCTCAGGCTGCTATGGTAAATGGATATGTTCTTCCTTACATTTTTTGCAGTTAGAACAGGACTAGAAGGGCCAGGATTAACGGTTCCTCAGAAGATCTGGTACTGCATTGCCACGGTTGGTGGTCAATATATTTGGGCTCGCCTTCAATCATTTTCAGCTTTTCGTAGATGGGGCGACACAGATCAAGTATTTTAATCTTTTTAAGATCATGCCATGATATGATTAAAATTGTTGCCGTACCTGTCTTTGTGGTACGCATAACACTCACTCACTTACCAAGACTTGCATGTGCAATGACTCACTCACACATATTCAAATGGTAGCATATTCATAAAAAAATTTAGCAGTCGTAACATTATCTATTTTCTTTCCCCGCCAGACGTCACTAGCTCGTCGTAGCTGGTTTCTGCTACAACGCATAGAAGGATTTTACAAGGCTGCATCTTTCGGAAATCTACTCCTATTTCTTTTGACAGGAAGGTATATGATATAACCAAGTCTTTGTGTTTTTATATGTTCTTTTATTACACGCGTTGGCAAAGGAGGGGAAAAAATTTATCTATGATTGATATTGATTCTGGGTGATTGATAGGAAATTTATTGAGTATGTTTCATATTTTTTTAGGCTTGCTGTCTTTGCGTGGGGGGGTATTACAGTATAAAAAATGGAGGGAAAAAAAGAAAGAGAAAATGTGTACTGAATGCTTAATGCTTATATATGGTATAAAAGACTCTTAATTACTCGCCAAACATACTTGATTGCTTGTTTGTATTGGAATTGCTCTCAATGACATTATTTATGTGTATATACGTCTGACTTAGAACAAAAATGGATAAATTTTCTGGTTAGCGTGCTATGCATTAAAAATGACTCTGAATACTATGTTTGATATCCTCCGGAACATTCATTTTTTCTTGTCTTTCTTTTATTTTCTCTCTCTCCCCATCTGTCTGTCTAATGCTTAATTAATTGTATGCTTAATGTTGGGGGTTTATCAGACATCTGCACAACCTGTAAAAGACTTTATTAACTAAGGAACTATCTGTTTTCTTATTAAAACCTGCAGTGAGGTTGCAGCTAATAATTACATACATATTTACACAGGTATAGGAGCCTTAGTGAAAGAGCCTTACGGGCAAGACTCGTCTATGGGAGCACTCATATGAACCGATCTGTAAGCTTTGAGTACATGAACCGGCAGTTGGTGTGGAATGAGTTCTCGGTAAGGTTCTACATCATACCTTGCACACATTTATTTAAATATTTTTACGCAAGTATTTGATTAGTGTTCAATTTTCTCATCTAATGTCCTCCACCCTCTTCAGTCGGAAAGTTCCTTCCGACTTTACCTAAAATCACGTTTTCACCTAGTACCCATGTGGCACTGAGTTGGTGTAAAGTTCTGGGTCTTTCCACTTAACCTAGCTGCAGTCTATTATTTTATGGAATCTTTTCTTCATGTAGCTGATTGAGCTTTTCTGTTAAGCTAGATTTTTGGGTGTGAACTAGTATGATCTGTCTACTGTGTGCATGTAAGTGTTTCCTTTACGTGTAATCGCAAAACACTCACCAGTTATTACCCACTAATAATATGCAGGAAATGCTGCTGCTGTTGCTTCCTCTTCTAAATTCATCATCTGTTAAAGAAATTCTCCGTCCGTTTTCACAAGATAAATCTTCTAACTCGGAAGGAGATGAAGCGTTATGTCCCATCTGCCAGATGATCCCGACCACTCCATTTTTGGCAATCCCATGTCAGCACAGGTAAACTTCAATAAAATATTCTATAAAGTTTTACCCGACCACTCCATAAAAGATGCTGCTACTTAATTTTTTGTTAGTTACTTGGTTACTCTTTTATGCAATATATCAATCATTTCTTTCCCATGATGTTTGATTTGACTATTGTATTGTAAATAAAATAAAAATAATTATTTTTATCCACGTTAAATCAATTTTATTAAGTTATTACACTAGATAAAATTGTGGTATATTTTTATTTTTTATTTTTAAATAGATTTGAAATATTCATATTAAGAAAAAAAGTACAAAATAGATGTAAAAGTACAACTACAACATGAACTATATGAATTTAAAAAATAAATAAATAATTTGTATGTTAAACTGTTATTCAATTACAGCTTGAAAGGGACACCAATGGTTTTAACATATATTTTTGTAAATTTAAAAATGAGTTAGTTACTTAGTATTTTATCGAACATTGGAAATAAATCCTAAACTTTTTAATCTTATAGAAGTACATTTGTATCAAATATATTATTATTATAAATGAATATGTAATATGAAATAGTATTTTATCTTATGTTATTATATTAGTTGTGGCCTAATAAATAAGATATTTGATAATGTTATTATATAAAAGACGCACAAAAAAATGACGCAATCCATATAAATGTGTGTATATTAATTCAACAAAGTAAATATTATTTATGAATAGAATAAGAAACAAATAAAACAATAGTAATGCAGTTGGAAAAAAAAAAAGTTTGAATTTTCTTAGAGAAGTATGAATACAAATATTTAGAAACAAAAATATTTTAAAATCACTACTTTTTGTTGATAGCGTTATAATATATGGACTGTAAGAAACTGGTTCTCATAAATAATAATCCTATATTATCAATTTTAAATTTTAAAAAATTAAAATATTATAAACTTTGTAATACATGATGTAGATTTTAATAATTAATTCTAATAATTAAGTTCACAGGCAACGGTCATATTATCTCTCTTTTAAGACATGATAACATGAATGTTCCTAACCAGATTTGATGATTTTTTGCTTTCGGTAAACAGTTAAAATTATGTTAGATGTTAATCAAGGTTTTTTTTTTTTTTTTTATTATTATTATAAATAACTGCAGGTATTGCTACTATTGTCTTCGAACAAGGTGTTCTGCTGCCATGGCTTTCCGGTGCTCCTGTTGCAATGAGCCAGTTGTAGCTATGCAACGATACGGAGGTACAGTCAACAAGATAAATCAATGAAGATTTATTTTACAAGGAGCAAAGAAATAAAGAAAAAGTTAGCACAATCATAACGATGTACGAAAAGTGTCCGAAGTCGGCCTATATCACACTATTGAGATTCAAAATGCAAGATATTATGAAGAAAATTTTCACTCTATTGAATCAAATGATTTTTTTGTTTTCTAAAATTTCGATGTCTACAGTCCCCTATCCGTGGAACAGTAAAAACAAAGGATTCCTCCAACATACAAACGACATGAAATACATATTGGGAATTACATCTCTTTTTTAGAGTATTTCTATTTTTCTCCATATAGAAGAATGGAGATTATTTCCTTAGTTTGTAGAATTTTCCTAAAGTTCTTGGAGCCTTCGCATGAGATTTATCTGAGTAATGGTATATAGTTATACATACAATTGTATACGAACCCAATGACTTTTCTGAGAATGACTCCTGTTTACACATGTTTCTTCATTCTGGTCCGTTCTCGCGTAGGTTCTCCTGCTGAGGTCCCTAGGTTTTCTAAGTTATCAGCTTGCATGTAACCGAGCTATCTTCCATCCTCAGCTCGAACCTTCATTAAATTAAATTAATTGGACAGTACCAAAATATAAACAATGTATGTTCAATGAATCTAAGGTCAACAAGAAACTGACTGCCATATAAAACTCTATTAAGCTGACTGATCTTTTCTCCCAGTACTGCTCTCCTATAGTCATTGATCTATTCTACGAACTAATTATGATCTTTTCACGACTTTATTTATAAGTATACTGCGTCATGTAATTTTTGGTTTTCAGTTCCGACTAGCATCTTTTCTCATAGAATTCTTTCATCCTTTACTAATACATATAATGTGTAACGTGTATGTCGAACAAGCAACCTTTATTTCGGACTTGCTCAATTAACTTCGCTTGTGTCACATAGTGTCGCATATTTATTTCGTACTTGCTTAATTAACTTCGTCCAATTGTCACATATTTTATCGAATAATACATTTTGCACTTGGTGGATTAAAAAAGTTATTTATTAATTGGCCATATGAAAAACTTAAGTCTATTTTCAGAGCGAGCTGTAAATATCTATTTTCACTTAAATAAATAAGGTTTAATATCCAATCAAAGATAAATTGATTTGATTGAAAATGAAAATCTCATTTCAACATCCCATTAGTAATTCGAAGTAATTTCGAACAATTAAATATCGGGATAACATTGGTCGATGGGTCATCATGCAACGAATGATACGAAATCGGTCATATATAATTGATATCAAGGAAAAAAAATAAAATAAATCAATGACAATGCTCTATCTCCAAAGCTACAACACCCAGAAATTGTCATTCTATACATAATTACAATGCAGTAAAAAAAAATAAATCCATTTGTTAGCAAATGCACCGTTCAATGCCACAACATATTACTGTATAGTGAAAATAAGAGGAAGTATGGTCCAATGATCAATAGTCTATCAAGCAGCGCCAATAGACGAACTCAGTATTTGAATCTGTAAGTATATGGAGAAAACTTGAATTAATGAAAACATCGCGACTCAAAAGATGTAAGCTTAAAAGTTCAAACTTAAATTCAGCTCACCTTATTGACAAGTAAGTTTACTTGCTCTCTGTACATCTCCTTCAGATCAACTATATCCGCACGAAGTTCTTCCAACTACACAAAAGATATCAGCTTCCGTATCTCAGAAACAAACAACGGACAGTGTCTATTTTGGATGCCCAATCAGAGTTATTTTTAAAATTCATGGAAATTTTTGGACAATTTTGTCTGGCCGGAGAGTGATGAAAAAAGTGGAAGAGTAAAACAATTTTTAGATTCTGAATAAATATAAAATAAAAATATCATGATTAAAGTTGATGCACCATAAAAACATAAAAACATAAAAAAAATGTAAGTGTGAGTAATGGAGAAAAAATTTATCCGACGAAATAAAAATGGAAAAAATTGTATCCAATCGCATCGCACTATTAGGAACTCAAAAAGAAAGTGGTGCAAGTAATTTATTGAATGCTTTGATAGAACTTCGTTCTAAGCTAATTGTACTATAATAGTCTTAAATAGTATCATTAACGCAATATGCACCTCACCAGGAGAATGTGAAAAATTTTCTATGATTATGGAGCCATGAACTTCTGGTCTCCCAATTCTTAAGTTGTTTCAGCCATTTAAATTTAGTGCCATACAGTTAAATGTTCTGGCAACTAGTGATATATTAAACATAATTCCATAGTTTTGTGCATACAGTAATCGATTCTTGTCCTGGTTAACAATGTACAGGCTTCTTTATTCCAACAAACCCCTTTTTTCATTGTCTTAGTTTTCACATTTTCTTAAAAATTCTTAGGCTATGTTTAATAGACAAATAAGCTAGCTTATAGCTTATTTGATTAGCTTCTACGCTTCTTGTATTTAAATAAGCTTCGTTTGGTAGGACGAGCTTTTTTAAAAAGCTCAAGCTTATCTCATAAGCTTCTTTAGGTAGCTTTTCAAATAAGCTCATTGAAAATTTTATTTCAGCTAGCTTATCAGCTAATTTTACCAAATACTCGTATTTATAAGCTAGCTTTTCATCTATAAGTCATAAGCTATAAGCTATAAGCTCAAAAATCACTTATCAGCTATAATCAGCTAGTTTTACCAAACATAGCTAATCAACTCAATAATAATAAACATTTTCTGAAAAATTCTTAATCAACTCAAATAATAATAACTAATCAACTTTTTCGGCGCAATAAAGGAAAAAGAAATAAGATACCTCCTCATCACGTTCACCCATTAACTCCAAGGCAGCAGAGTGCCTCCGCCTGAGTGCCTCTAATTCTGCTCGTATTCCAGGTAGCATAGAAGCTTCTGCCCGTAGCTTTTCGCACTGAAGAGCAGCAAACAACTTATTGACCTCAAAAACTTAGGTATAATTAAAGAGATCGCAACATTGTAAATTTTATTAATTAGCATATAAGTTCATTATAATACTACCCTATCTTATTGACTAAGGCAATGATCTTCCGGGACAGGACATAAATGAAGTCCGTGTAATATGGGAAAGGTGAGTGCAATAATAAGTAAACATGAAAATGAGAAAGAGCTATCGAGTCTCACCTCTGCCGTCATTTTAACTAACTCCTCCGCAAGAGAATCCCGAATCGATTCCATAGAAGCCTACAGTTAAAACCAAAGATTCTTGAGTAGAAGAGTACCAAGAACTAGTGGTTACTTACAAATAACTAAGACTGGCCCTATGAATTACACGGAATACAACAACAAATGCAGTTCAATGAAACGGACCAGTCTAGATGTGTATGACGCAAGCTCTCCTTCCTTTTGACGAAGGGCAGCTTCGTAAGCGTTTGTCGTCATGCTCTTCATATAGTATGGGCTCACCGGACCCTCAGCCATGGATCTACGTTCAGATAAATTCTCGGATGAGCCCAACGTGGCTTGCAGAAAATAGCTTTCTTCCATACTGCTCAAGCTGCTTGCACTCGAGATCTTACGGGACAAGCTACCTGTTGAGGTGCATAGTAAAAAAAATGACAAAAGTAGATTTAACTATAATTGTATCGCTAGGTATGACATATAGTTGATGTGCATTTACCATTTTCAAAAGCAGCAGACTTTTGCCTAGCTATGGAGCTTTGATCAGGTATATTAAGTGGCGGGAGGCTGGAAACCCTTTCCTGATCCAAACGAGCAGCTTTTTCCCGATCGAGTTCCTGATACCCAGGACAGTTTTACTTAGTGAAGTAGGGTAGTAGAATAAGATTAACAGTTACCCGGAAAGCCATGCAGTGCATATCTTATCAGGCCTTTCTAGCCCCAACACGAAAATATTTTATACTAGTATCAGCATTACATTACAAAGAAGACGAAACATATAAGCTAAACCTTATATGAGTTATAGTTAAAAGATATATGAATAATCATAATCATAATCATACATGTTTTCTTCTGTTTTCACTTTGATTGTCAACAAATTGTTCGTGTGTGGGTGTAACCAACAGTCTCAATGATTTCCTTTAATTGTCGCAGCAAGTCGAATATCTTTCTCTAAAGAATTAATCAATTATGTACTTGCATGGACAGGAACGAGTGAAAAGGGAAGTAAACGAACAATGAAGAAAAACGGATAAGGACATAAAGAAACTATTATGATACAGTAAGTTTCCAGTGGCCAACATATAGTGACATTAATAGTTGCAAAGGTCCATGTGAAAATAAAATTAGCGAGACAAGCAACATTCATAGCAGAATTTCAAAGGGAAAACCTCCGCACATCAAAGCCCAGGACTCCATGTGCATGCTTTACCAAAAATGAAAACAAAATAATAATTGAACGATTAAAGAAATATTCAACACCAAGAGCACTGTGCACCAAAAGGTATCTATACATTTTTAATTGAAATCAAAAGTATAACATGACTTAATTAGATAGAATCACTGACTAAAAGATATATTAAGCAAGTGCTTCGGGCGCAAATCTAAAAGCACATAATAATATACACAATACCTGTTGAAGTAGCTCTTGATGCATAATAGCTTCATGCAGCTCATCCTTGTGTTTTCTCCTAAGTTCCCGAATTTCTTCTTCAAGCTGACTCACATGACCTTTATAAGTGTCAGCTTCTTCCTTTAAAGCAAGATATTCCTGTCTATGTTCTGCTGCCCTCTGTCTCTCCTTTTCAAGGGACCTCGTTAACTGAGTCTGCTCAGTTCTAAGGCATGAAATCTGCATAGATATACCTAGCATTTTAAGCTACTAATCAGAGTACCGTCACCTCATTAACTTAAGAACCATGTATTAATGAAGAAAACCTGAGCTTCAAGAACATTTATTCGAGACAGAGTTTGAGTTAAACGCTCATTAATTGAACGCTCCTTTTCCTCGGCAGTTGCAGCTTTGGCCTCTGCTTCCTGCATGTTAAATTAATTACATTAAGATGCCAATGAAGTAAGTTAATAAAAGGAAGTAATGCACATCAAGAAACCTGAAGACGGGAGCTTAGAGATCTTTCAACAGCAGCCCAAGCTTCAGCCCGTCTGGAGGCTGTTTCCTGACATCGATAGTTAAAGGAAAGAAAGGTTAAAACAAGACTGGCCAACTATATCATCTCAGTAACCAATCACGCAGTAAAACCTGCATTGCTTCAATCTGCCTTAAAAGAGGCCTGGTAGAGTCAGGAACTTGTGTTATTAACTCCTCACACCTACGTTCACTTGCCTAGGGACATGTAGTTGTACATCAGATAACAGAGTTTCAAAAATATTTTCAGAAGTAAATAAAATGAAGAGGTTGAATTAGAAACGAGAAACAAACTTGATATCGCCTTTGAAGATCTTCGATGTCCTTGCGAAGCATATCTTCTCTAAAAATTGCCTGCACCAAGAGTGAAGACAACTCTAGTATAATTTGTATGAATAATTATAGAGACTCAATTTTTTCTAAAATTAACCTGCTGCTCCTTTCTGCTTAGAGTTTGCCTTAGTTCTTCAAGTGTTTGAACTAGCATACTTTCCCTCTCTTCGGCCTCTCTTAGTCGACTTTCAAGTTCAGTTCTCGCTTCGGTGTTTGCACGTGTCTCAGCTAGTGCTTCAGCCTCTTTTGCAGCATTCAGAGCATTTGTGTAGTATTCTTTTTGATCGGCAAGTTCAGTTTGGTGTTTTTCTACAGTTTCTTGGAGCAACTTCTCAGTTGCTGACTTGTCTCTTCTTATGCTCTCTACTTTATTCTCTTCAACCTGGGAATGATTATCAAAATCCCCTTTAACTTGAAAAAACATGGAAAGAGTTGAATAAAAATAGAATGTGCAACTAATAAGGCAAGAAGCAGAGAGAGAGAGAGAGAGAGAGAGAGAGAGAGAGAGAGAGAGAGAGAGAGAGAGAGAGAGCACTATAAATTAATATTGACCAAGTTAACACTAGAAATTGATATACTATGATCAAGTCAACACACTCGCTTAAATAACCAAAGTATTGAAAAAACCAACCTGTAGCTTTGTTAACAATCCTTTCTTCTCTTCCTCAAGCTCCCTTATCTAGGTTTCAGGAAAAGTGAAGATTAAATGTATTATATTTCTGATCCATGTTTAAATTTAGCAGATGAATGCGAGTTTCGAAGATGGGTAAATGATCCAAGGTAAACATACCTGTGCCCTGAGCTTTCTAATTTGGGATTCCTGAGCAGCTTGCTTTTTTGAGAGCTCTTCACCTGGGGATTATAGTAAGAGATGAACTTCAATACCAACCATAACGTAAAGTTACTAATAATTGAAATGTGTATAAATTAGATCACGATCTAAAACAATGATGAAAAAGCAATTACTCTCCTTAATTTTTACTCATATTTAAAAGATATCTATCATTGAATGGCAGGAATCAACTATTGTTCTAATGGGTAAGAGCCCATCAAGCAGAGAGCTCAGTTAATCTGTCCGAAATGAGTCCAACCTTGCGATTTCTTGGGGGCTCAAACTCTATTAAAAGTTGGGTTGAATTTTCTACCCATAAAGTAAAATAGATACCTGAGAAGTATTCATCTCCAACAAACATAATCTATCTATTCCACCAGTTGTCACAAATGCCTTATAATCAACGGGCAAGTCATTAAATTCCGTCCTCTCTTATATAATTCATGGTTTCAATTCTCCTGACAAAACATTTGTCCTTAATATTTTATTCACGCTGTGCATACAAGGGTAGCTTATCAAGCTTCAACAAGAGAACATTTTTAAGGCAGTTAAAAACACTAATTTAACAAAATGCTTCAGCGGCTCTGCATATAAGTTTTGCACACCTTCAGCCATCACTTGAGTGATTATCTCATCCTTTTCCTTCAGAAGAGCTGCAGCGTCACTTTTTTTATTTTGTTCTCTACGCAGTGTATCTCTTTCCCTAGTAAGAGCATAAACCTAAGGAAATGCCAGTCAAACAGGTAACTCAATCACAATTTACAACAACAAAAATAAGATGGAAACAAAATAAAGCTTTAGCGCGATAAATAAATGAGCCATCAGTATATCCAGAGAAAAAAAATGCATCATCGAGAAAGGATGCAAACTGATGCAAAGAAACTTATATCCATCAAGAAAGGAATCACGCAGGAGCTAGCAGCCTAGCACCTAAATAGGTGTACCTTTCTTTCAAGTGCTGCCACTCTCTGATGATACTCCTCCCGTAGAGATTCAACTTCAGCTTCATTTGTTTTCCTCTGGAAGTCACTTCGATCAGTTAGCAATTTGTATATACAACTGGACACACATTCTAGCATAAATCTGAAGGCATTTGATTATCAACATGTATAATAACATCAAGATGCGTGTATACATGAGACTATTCAGCCCAATGTAAATACATGGCCTAATATAGCTCCGGGAATGGCTGGAAAACTGTGAAGAATCCTCGAGGCATGTGAAGAGTTAGGATTGAAATGAAAATGAAAATGAAAATGCAGCAACTGGAGAGAAACAGTTTCAGTCAACTGAACTTCAATAAAAGAATTATAACATTGTTGAACAATTATGCCAGCACATCTAAAATTACAAGCAGGCACAAAAATGTAAATCATTCTTATTTTACTCTGCAGTGTTATTAATGACACAGGAATACCCCTGGAGTTACATCCTATAGTATTCACTATAAGCAATATATCGTCCAACTAACTCAAGCTTGGAAAATCATAGAATCTTATGCACCATAAAATTAATCAGATCAGTATTGTCTAAACCAAAGAGTTGTACATGAAAAGAACATGTCAAACAAAATTCTAAGAAACATTTAAATTTATTAATGTTCACTTACTCTCAGATCATCAGTTATGGATTTTAGCTGCTCGTTTTCATTCATCAACTTGGCAATTTCATCAGCCTTTGCCTGAAAGTGAATAATAAATAACAATCAAGTTTGCATTTCCTACCTTTGATGATAACATAAAAGAAGGCTCCCATTTGCATAAAATTTACAAAATAGAAAAAACAATTACAGATTACAGTAGATCCTCTACAAAATGTAATAACTATTGTAGAAACAAATAAATGTTCCAGCTTCCCACTATTGTGGCACTAAAGTCCATTCACCGAGAGCAACGGACAGTAAAAAAAAAAACCTAAATTTGGGGAAGCTGTAAAATTGACGTGCCTGTTAACAAGTGGTGTTTACCATTCCAATGAATCACAATTAGTTTGTCTAACCATTTTACATTACATTGTGAATTAGAACATACTACACTAATGTCTTATCAACTGATCAATAAAATCATATTCCGCATTTAAAAAAAAAAAAAAAAATCCTTTGGCTTTGTAAAAAATTCATTGGCTTTGCTTTGCAGGCCATATGACCGTTATAGCATTATGGGAATCTTGTAGAGGGGTCAAAGACATGACGCATACCATTACTAGGTATTATAACTTAAATACCTGAGCTTGTCTAGCAGCTCCTTGCAATGCAGTTTCCATCATTTTCATTTCCTTTTTCAACTTCTCAAGTTCCGACATTGTGTCTGCACTATCAGGCATGTTGCTTCCAGTACTTAGACGGTGTTCTTTTGCATGAGGATTTTTGTCTGGGTGATGTGTCAGCTCAATTGGTTTAGACACGGTATCATTCAGAGTCCTAACCATATCCAAAGCTTCAACTGAAGCTTCCACATCCTTATACTGTAAAACAGGCAACCTGTCTTGAGAATTATTTTCAGCGTCTCTGATCTCTCCAGGAACTTCTGATTCAGACATTTCTTTGTTTTCCTCTGTGGCTTCAGGTAACGCATCCAGATCTTGAGCTGGAAAAACATCTTTACAGCCTTCTTTTTCCACATTTTTTTCATTTGAACTCTCTGAAGATTCAGCGTCTTTTGAAGGCACAGAAGCAATAATCTCATTTTCAACAACATGATTTGCCGACTCTGGTTGAAGTGACTCGACATGTGCAGGAGGAACTTCATCTGATCTCTCCTGAAAATTGTGTGCAGATTCAGGTTGTACAGACTCAGAAGACGTAGAAAATATATCCTTTGACCTCTCCTCTGCATTTGTTTCCGCGAATACTGTTTGCTCAACCTCTTCATGTTTTTGTTCCGGTAATGTGGCAGGAACTAAAGGCAAATCCACCTGAGGTTCAACATGTTCTACACCAGCATTTTCTTTGGTCTCCCCAGTGGATGCTTTTGTTTCCTCTCCAGATTCTTTCTTTAGATCTGCAATTTTTAAATCTTCATTTTCTTGTTCCACATGAAGAACCTGTTCAATTTCTTCACGCGCTAAGTTTTCATACTCAACTTGTTTTCCCTTTACAGGAGACTCTGGCTTTGGGGATGTAGGCTTTTCTGGTGAATCAACGGTATTCTCGCCACCTTTCTGCCCCATAAACCCAATAATGGGTTCAAACAGCGCTTTCCTGTCCGTAGATGGCCACAGTCCTCCTGATGCTGCAATGAAATACTATATGATAAATATAGCTGATTGGAGCTCAGTGCCTGCAACTATTCAGGCTGTATAAATTGCTATGTGCTTATGAGGCGGCAGTTGAGTGTCTAGCCTGTAGGGTGCCTAATGCTGCCTGAAACACTCTAAGTACACTTTTTTCTTTTAATTAGGCAAGGCTAGACTTTAGTACCCTTGCCCGCTTGCCCTGATTCTCGATCCGGGCAATATTTCTCAGAAATTAATGATGTTGCAACTAATACATGGACGTTTGGTAACTTTTTACTTGAGAAAAAGTTCTCAGAATTTTACGATGTTGCAACTAATACATGGACGTTTGGTTACTTTTTACTTGAGAAAAATTTTAGGTACTAGGAAATCTAACTAGGTGAGAAAATTTTAAAGATTTCTGTGTTCAATGTGCACCAGGCCACCTACAGATTCAAGGCCTAAAAGCACCAAACTTCAGGACCACACAAAAATTTTCAGCAGATCCTTAAAAGCTGAGAAGTATAAACTAAGTAGAATCAAAATGCTATACAGATAAACGAACCAGAAATCTATTTAAAAAAAAAAACCCTTCATGATGATGACAGCAGACTCGTACCTTCACTGCCGCTACCACTACCATCGGATTTCTCCTCGAGCCCAAGAGCGGTGTCGAAGTTCTTCTCAATGTTCTTCACACTTTCACTCAGCTTATTCACCGCCTCTGAGAAATCCGGGAAGTTTCCCAGAGACACTTTCCCACTAAACCACGCCATATCCTCAATCAAGCCGATTGATCCACACCTCTGAATACATCATCCAACCTACAGAAAGCAGCCAAAATGTAACCGAAACACAGAGATTACAGAGGAACAGGTCGCTTAATTGAGCTGAATTTTTCAAACAATAAAGAGGAGAATGAAGATCCGGCACTGTTTGATCTTCGGTGCAAAGCTTAGAGAACCACTTAGAATCAGCAATTGAGAATTGATACAAAAAAAAAAACCTTGATGAGGTTCGTCAATGGTGAGTGGATACTGAAGAGATCAATCGGAGCTGGGAAGAGGAAGATCAGACGTGAAGAGCGATTTCGATCACTGAGATGGATAAATTTTCAGCTGGTTTGATCAGATTTGGGTTGTCAGGTTCAGGTATTCGGGTTAAACCGTTGGGTAAATTTAAGGTGTACTCTTTAATCTTTACTAGTACTGGCCCGTGCGATGCACGGGATGGCTATGAAATTTTTTTAATATGAACATTAAACTTATTGCATTTTATAGATATGTTAAAAATATAAAATGGAAAAAAAAAACAAATTTAAAACTTCTTAAATTAGTAAACACTTCTTTGTACACAACATTTTGGGTCTGATTTGGTGGCAAGTCATCGTCATTACAGACTAATATCTTCAACCCACTTCGAGTGGTGACACGGGAGGCAGCAACATATAATTTTCCATGACTGAACACCGGCTTCTTAAGAAATAAACCAACATGTGATAACGATTGTCTCTGACTCTTGTTGATAGTCATGGCATACGATACAATAATTGGAAATTGTCGCCTCTGGAACTTGAAAGCAATTCTGATATCGGAAGGAGTTATAATCGTTATAAAAATCAATACCTTCTTGCCTTTGTGATCCCCAGTCTCTATCCTACACTCAAGAACATAAGCAGATAGTTTTGTCACAACCAACTGTGTCCCGTAACATAAACCCATAAAATGATCATATCCGCAATAACATGACGGGGGTTCCAATCTTCAAATGTAACTGATGATTTGGAATTCTGGAACATTTGATGCTATTCAAGAACTCAGGCATATGGATATCAGAAAGAAAATCATTATTAGATTCCAACTTGATGGACTCGACAACATCAACCGTCAGTTGACGTTTAGTAATAGTTGATCCAATGCAAATATCAGAAATCATAGTACCTAGTCAAAATAACGGAATTGCAAGATTATTTTCAATTTTTTTGTATAATTGATAATTTTAAAAGTACATAATTAATACACAACATTAATAAGAATAATACAGTAACTCAAATTTGATCATATATTAATGCAACTAATGCTGAATATTATTAATGAAAGTAATACAATGATTTTATTAAATTATATACATTTTATATATTCTACTATTACAGAAAAAAATAATAAATTATTTATAATTCAAACTTTTTAGATATTTAAATTTTGAAAATAAACAATATTCAACATATATAAATTGTACGAATATCCAATTTTTTTTTGAAATATTGGGATAATGAGTCAAAATACAAAATTGTAGTAAAATACTAACCCAATAAAATAAATAAAGCAACCCAATTAATAAAAGGTTGGGTTGCTTCATCAAATCAAATTGATGATACAGGCCCGAGATCTATAGCCCAATCTATCTATATATATTGGAGAAGAGGACCTAACAATTTTTTTTAAGAAAATAATATGGGTTTCAGAAAAAAGGCCCAAAATGTAAACACAAAATATCAGACGGTCAGTATTGTTACACATGTAACGATCAAACTGTTGTAATTTGATAAAAAAGGGTATAAAAGGAAAAAATATGTTGTGTACGGTTTCCATTTCATTTCACCACAACGATCGCCGTCATTCTTCCCTTTTCTCTCTCATTGTTCGCGTTTTGTGTGCGATTTTGAAAAAAAATAATGAAAAAACCCCCCAAAAAATTATTATAAAATCCCAAAATTATAGTAGATCACATGTTATTTCTTACTATTTTCGTTTTGGGATCACGAAATCGATTGCCGACTACACAAAGGTATGTATTTTTTTTTTTCATTTTTGTTCAATTAATCCCTTTTATAGATCTATCATATATTCTAGGCACCTTTTCAGATCTGTTTAAAATTATAATTATTTACTATTTATTTAGTCAGAGTTCATATTTTGTGATGTCTCAGTGTTTGTTCCTCGTCAGGATGCAAAATCTAATTATTGTTTTTTTTTTTTTAAGCTATGAGCACTGGACTTCGATTAGAAGAGGCATTTTACGGCAAAACGGAAAGCCGATGTCTATCGAGATGAGGTAGAATAATTTTTTTACTTATTAAGTTCGAAATCCAAATAAAGATAATAATTTATTGTTGAAATGAAAGGGCAAACACAAAATTCGGAGTTACAGAATCCGTCCGGTTCAACTAAAAGCTATGGAGAAAGAAGTCAATCGCCGTCCACTAAAGGTTTGTATATCTGTTTTGTGTTAATTACAACTTATAACTAATTTTTATTGTATTTGGTAAAGAAAGAACATTACTTTTTTAGACATCAAAGATTCACGCGCAAGAATTATCGACAGTGAAGTTGTGTTGGTAAATAAAATTGAGTATTTTCTTTTAACATGCAGTTCATAGTACGACAAACTTTCGATATCCATGCAAGATAATATATGATCCTTGACCGAGTCGAACAAAATATAAAACTGCAGCTATACACATTGCACGGGTAATCTTCTTCCTATACATACAATTTCGCATACATTGATAACGTCTGATATAAAACACTAATAGCTCTATTAACTCTTTCTTTTTTTGGTTGTAATAACATATTTATTCTATTTATCTGTACAAAATGAAGGTCCAAAAAATGCAAGTATTATCAAACAAAAGCATGAAACATATAAACTTTCCACACTTTTGTTATGCCAGTATGATCTGCGAACAGGTATGTTATTCAAAATTCATAAATAATTGTAGCAATAAACTAAGGTATGATGTACAGAAATAACCATCTGTAAGTTAAGCAAGTAATACAAACAATATTAAAATATTTACCTTGGAATATGTTTTCTTCAGAGGGTTTTTGCTCCTTTTTCTTGAACCGATCGTATCCGATTACAGCAAAGTCTCTAGCAAATTGCATGTTAAATGATGATTAGTTTGGTATAGTAAGGATGACATTGTTTCTTCTAATCCGTTTCTTGAATTCTCTATCTGCTTCTTTATCTGCCGAACTTGTACCTTTTTTTTCCTGACTGCATCTATGTCCATTATAGCAACTCCTATTCATAAATCGAATACATGCAATAAATAGATTAATAATGCAAAAAACATAAATATAAAATTCTGTTTGGAGAAATAAAATGTAGACTGTAGATTACCTTGGTTTTTACCAACTCTGAATCTTCAAATAAGATTTAGGAAGAGCATGTGAAAAGTTTTTGTGAACATAAAGATATCTAAAATTTATCAGTAGGAGTACGCATATTAAATAGAGAGAATATAGGATAGTTACCTATATATGGGCATTAAGATCTGAAACTTATCAGTAGGAGTAGGCGTATTCAATATAGAGAATATCGGGTAGTTACTTATATATGGGCCCCAATATCTTTTATTATAGATTATAGGAAAAATCCCGGTCAATAATAGTAAAGGTAGTTCTAAACCTTACATAAATTTAGAATATTAACATATGGTAAACTACTGAAAGATTCGTAAACAAATTATAAAGTGATTTTTTTTTTTCTATTTCACAATTAATAGATTTAGAATATCAAGATATGGTATCAATTATGATGCTATGAAAATTCAATTATATATTTATTTTCGTAAATAAATAAGTACTATTTTAAATATTAAAATATTGAAATTAATAGATTTAGAATATTAAGATATGGTATCAAATATATTGCTATGGAAATTCAATTGTATATTTATTTTCGTAAATAAATAAGTACTATTTTAAATATTAAAATATTTTATCAAATGTGCAGAATACTTCAATTGCCTATGTAACCATTTCTTATATAAATGTCATTATAACTATTATATAATAACAAACATTCAGTAAACAAAATAATTTAAAATATTCATGTAGAGTTTGTGTAAATTGACCGATTTCCAGTGTATGAATAGTTATCGAAAACTGCTTTTGTATTTTGTTGTCTAAATAATTTAAATAATATTATAGACTTTTTTTTTTATACAAATTTAATATTTTGTTAATATAATTTAACAATATATACAATAAATTGAGATATAACATAAAAAAATATTACCTCTTGATCATGAAACAGGATATGGAAACAACTCAGGCACTCCCGATCATAACGCGTTTCAATAAGTCGGATTACTCTCAACTGCAAAAATAGTTTGTTGGCCCTAACGATAGAGGAGATTGTATCAAAGAATGGCGGCACTATATTCTATGTGTATATTGAAACTTCTCTGTATTATTTTCTCTGCACATTGCAAAGTAGGTGATAAAAAAATGCTATGAATTAACACCCTTTTATACACACTTTTGATATGCACAATTATCTTCACGTAAAATATGGAAAGATTTTGTTAAGATAATATTCCTGAAATTGTTAACAATAAAGAAGGATTGATTTTGATAAGATATTAAATTGATTTTGATAAGGTTGTAACACCCGCCCCTTATTAGGAATTTTAGTTGATTTTTTCACGTAAAATATGGAATCACAATTTCAAATTGAAGGGTTTTTAAATATGGAATCATAATTTCAAATTGTTTGGTTTTTAAAGCGGCGCGTGATGCTAAATATAAGGAATGACAAATTGATTCAGCCGCAAAATAAGGAATCAGAATTTCAAATTGCACGAAAGTAATGAATGATTTAAAACTAAAAAAAAAAGAACTATCAAAATTTATTAATATTCGGATTTTCAAAATATTTTCCATAAATGGGAAGTCAAAGCATCTATTGACTAATTTTTTAAAACTTTCCTCAAATGATTTATTTACCTTCCTCTTTCCATTATTATAGATTTAGTTTTATTAATTAAATTGCCATTTGGGAAGGACCAAAAAAAAAAAAAAAAAAAAAAA